ATCCAAGTCAACATCCCCTGGTTGCTAATACTTTTTGGATCAAATCTGGGGGAAAGAAGGGAAGGAAAGAGTAGGGAAGAAAGAAGGAGAAAAAAGAGTTTATTTTTGCTTTTTACCATACCACAACTCCCTCTAGTTTACTTGAGCAGGAAAAGTAGATTAACCATAGTAAAGAAAGAACAAAATGTTATTTTCATTTATTTTACCTTGACTTTTGAAAATATACATTGGTAGTATGGACCAATAAATGTTCTGTTCTACTTTATAATGATGCATGAAACCATCATACTTCTCTTTAGAAAAGTAAAAGGATTATTTTTTGTGACACTATCCATTCTGCAGAAGCTTTGGGAGGTCAGTTCACATGTGAGGCACTACTCTTTCCCCAGGTGCCATTTTCTTCCTCTCCTCATCAGTCCTTTGAACACCTGGAAGGGGCTGGTTTCTCACTTCTGCTTGTCTGGGACTTTCCCTGAGCATTTTCCTCCATCCTGGGATGGCTTCTACCTTACCCCTTCCCTGGAGTTATAACGGGGAGTTGTCCATGAAGGAATTTAAGGGCTCGAGGAATAAAAATCACATCAATTTAATGTTTTTATGTATTAACCATTTATACTCAGACATCAGCCCTAAATCATACAGACAAATGTATTCAGTTTTTTTTTTTTTAATTTCTATGGTAATAAATTACCACAAACTTCTGGACTTAAACCAACACAAATTATATTATCTTACAATTGTGTAGGTCAGAAGTCCAGGATATCCTCATCAGTCACCAAATACCATTCTAGACCAGCGGTCCCCAACATTTTTGGCACCAGGGACCAGTTTCATGGAAGACAATTGTCCCACAGTGGAGATGGTTCAGGCAGTAATGCAAGCGATGGAGAGCGGCAGACGAAGCTTTGCTAGCTGGCCCTCCCCTCACCTCCTGCCGTGCGGCCCAGCTCCTAGCAGGTCCTGGATGGATACCGGTCCACAGCCTGGGGGGTGGGGGCCCCTGTTCCAGACAACTTTGATATGATTGATGGCTAGCTAGTGGGTGGCCCCTAAAATTCCTTCTGTAAGCTGCTATGGGATTCCTCTTTCACCTAGTCTATCAGCAGGATACAGTGGAAGTCATGAGATTAGCAGGCTGTGCTCCTTGGAGGCTCTAGGGAAGAATTCATTTCCTGCTCATTTTAAGATGTTGGCAAAATTCGGTTCCTTCTGGTTGTAGGATGTAGGTCCTCGTTTTCTTTTAAGCATGTCTAGAGGCCACAGTGTTGCTTGATTTGTGACTTTCTCCTCCATCTTCCAGACTAGCAATGGCAGGTTAGGTCCTTCTCTGATGGCAGCTCTCTGACCCACTTTTCTTCAGTCATCTTCCACTTTTAAGGACTCCTCTGACTACACTGAGCGCACCTAGATAATCTAGGATAATCTTCTCATCTCAAGGTTTCTATTAATCCCATCTGCAAAGTCCCTTTTGCTATGTAAGGTAAATGATTTACAGATTCTATGGATTATGACACGGACATCCTTTATGGTGGCAGAGGAGGAGTGACCATTATTTTGGCCACAAGGAAAATAACTGCTTAAGTGAGGAGTCTGTAAATCTACTTATGTGAATAAAAATTATTTTAAAATATCATGAAGACATTTTTCTTTTTTTCCCAGCAGTCATTATTTATAATTACATCAGAAGACCTAAAGCACAACGGATCTGCAAAGTTTCCTGTGACTCTTGACCATTCACTCTAGGCTAACTTTATAGCCCAATATGTTTCCCAATTGAAGGTCAAGTTGAAAAATATGTAGTCAGTTTATTATCATGAAATCCAGAAGTGCAAACAATAGGCACAACTTAGGAGGGTGTGATTTTCAGAAACTTGAAGTATGGAGGCAGAGGTATGGATAGGTGAAGGATAAGCACTAAGTATTTTTGTTTGTTTGTTTTAGTTTTAGTTTTTTTGCGGTACGCGGGCCTCTCACTGTCGTGGCCTCTCCCGTTGCAGAGCACAGGCTCTGGACACGCAGGTTCAGCGGCCATGGCTCACGGGCCCAGCCGCTCCGCAGCATGTGGGATCTTCCCGGACCGGGGCATGAACCCGTGTCCCCTGCATCGGCAGGCGGACTCTCAACCACTGCGCCACCAGGGAAGCCCACTAAGTTTCTTTTTTTTCCCCAGATTTTCCCGTATTGGTCCTACTGTTGTCTAAAAGACAGTCCTGTAAGATCATACATACAATGCTATCTACATTGACTAGCAAAACGAAGGGCCAACCCAAGAAGGAAGATAGATGTGAATCAGCAGAAAAGAAGGCTGAATTAGATTAAAAAAAAAAAAGAATAATAATAACATGTGTCTATTCCTACCAATATCATCTGAGGGTAAGCTCCCCATCAGGTTCACTTCCTATTTTTAATATCCTTGTGTACACAGCACTAAGCACAAGTACCTGACATATTGAACTCATTAAATAAATATTAATTATCTTCAAATTAATTGTTTTAATTAGAATTAGACAATATTTATAAAATTTTTATGTGTAAGATACAGTAATAAAAGTCCCTCATGTTTCCATTGTTCTCTATACTTTCCAGAGCTTTTTAAATGAATTATTTACCTAATAATGATATGAGGAACATTGATAAGACCTGGTAGTTAAGGCAAAAATTTGGCATCAAGAAAAATGAGAGAACTTTGTCCTCTACTATTCATATAATATCAAATCCTTGTCATGTAACTGGCTCATTTGCAGGTTCGAAAATTTGCTAGGCATTTGCAGATGCCTGCTCCCTTGGTTTGGGTAAAAACTCAGGGCTTGTGAACAGTAAAACTATTTTTAGAAAAAAGTTACCTAGATAAATAGGCATCACTCCCATCTGCTGTAGCCCGGGTGACACTATTTAAGCAGGCAGTGACATGCTGCATAGCAGGAAATAGGTTTTAACCTGGAGGTCCCGGTGCTTAGCACAGCTTCTCAGATAAAATACTAAGTGAATATAGGAGAAAATGAGAAACCTGCAGCGTTATGGTAGCAGAGACATTTGAGCGCCTACTGTGACCCAGGCCCTGAGCTACACTCTACAAGGTTTCATTTAATCCTCACTCAGCATAAGAGGTTGTGGGATCTTAGTTCCTGGACCAGGGATCGAACCCGAGCCCTCGGCAGTGAGAGCACAGAGTCCTAACCACAGACTGCCAGGGAATTCCTTCAAATGACAGTACAATCTTAAGCAAAGGTAATGTCGTTTCTCTAGTGCTTCAATCAGCCTGGGAAGAGTCTGTTCATCACTGATATCCAAAATTTCGCAGGATGGCAAAGGTGGAAAACTCTGCAAAACCACTTCTGAAACCAGCGGTTCTGTACTGAGTTATTTAAAATAATAAAAATTTACACAGGAGAGAAAGAGTTATTCAAACAAGTTTAACACTGTGATAAGAGCCCCAGTCCAGTTAACATTGTACCTTGTTAGGTTGTCATAATACTTCCTTAAAAACGTGTTATAAAGAAGGAAAAATGAAAAAAAATTATAGTATATAATAAAAGAAATGTCACTTATAGAAAAAAATCCTTGTCAATCTGACAGTACTTAATTATAGGTTTTTGAAAGCAAAGACTACTTCTGACTTATCGATCCCAAGACAGCCACAAAACCATAATCATACATAGTAGGTACATAGTAAATGATAATAGGAAAAAAAACATAGAGTTTTTTGTAGTTTTTATTCATTTTTAGTGTTTAAATTATGTAGTATAATACTGACAATATAATGCAAGTAATTAGAAAGGACAAAAGAAGCTATTGGAAATGTTCTGAAACAAACCTTTTTTAACTCTAAGCTGTTGAATATTGACAAAGTTGTCTTGTGAGGTAATTAATTCATCACTGAGATTTTCAAGTGATGAGCTCTATCATTGCTGGTCAAAAATTGAAGCAGAAATTCTTACATTTGGTGCGAGAATTAACTCTAAGACTCTTTCTTATTCCAAAACTATTTGACTACTGGTAATGTTCTATTTCTTGATCTGGGTACTTATTGAGCTTTTAATCTGTATATGTCTCATGTTGTTCACTTATAAAATACTTATCCTCTTTTCTGTGTGTATCTTATGTCAATAAAAAGCCTAACAAATCTGTAAGTCAACTCCCTTCAGCTGTGAGATAAGTCACTTATTTACATAGCCTTCTTAGCTTCTCCCTATTTCTATCTTCATTAGGAAGACTGAAAACATCTTTTAATTCCAAGGCCAGTGTATATTATGCATTCACAACTCCTGGACCTCTTCTGTTAGGATTTTGACTTGATCGCACCAAGTGATGGCAATAACAAATCAAATTAAAATGTTTCTTTTTAAAGAGATAATTTATAGAACATACAAACTGTGAGGCCTCCTGTAGGATTTTTTTAACTTTATTTTAATAATGAAGTATTTTTTTCCCAAACAATATTTGAGTACATATAACAAACATAGACCATCACATACAAAGCTTCTCTAGGTAAAATCTGAGTGAAGACCTGAGAGGCATACTTACCCCATATTCAGTCTTGGCATCAGCATCCTTTTCTCTCCCTCCTTCCCCAGGAGAACCATTCTAAGGGAGAGGTTGGGGAAAGGTTGCATTGACCTAGTGCAATCTTCCTCAATTAACAGAGGAATACACTCAAATCTGAAGGGGGGAAAGGGACCTACCCAAACTAAACACTCAGCAGATTGTTATGCTGATAAGACCTGGCTATTCATCTGGGCTATTTGATTTTGGATAAGTTATTTAATTTCTCTAAGCCTAAGTATCCTCAGATGTAAAATGGAGGTAGTCAAACCGACTTCAACAGATGTTGAATAGATAAGAGATGGTGTCTAATGCATAGTAGGTGCTGATGAATGAGAGCTATCACAGTTATTCCAACTCCAGAAGAAAGCCCCCAGATCTGCATGAAATAAAAGAGCAAAACTAATGATTGATAACTTGGACTTTAGCTTAAATATGTTCTTTTTCACTTGTTTCAGGAAAGTAGTAGATCATCCAAAAAGGCGATTTGGTATCCCCATGGATCGGATTGGTAGAAACCGGCTTTCAAATTCCAGAGGCTAATTGATTCCAATCGTGAGTACAGTTTGAAGAAATATAATACCTGCATGCTTTGATTAACATTTCACAATGGGCTAACTGATCCATCTTGGTTTGTAAATCCCCCTTTTGATTCCTAAGCTTATAAATTCACTTTTTCAAACATTTCTGTATTTGATTAGTATATAGATGCTAAATAATTTAAATGACACTAAAAAAAAAAGCCATTCCTAGACCTACTTCACCCTAAAATAAAAGATCTAGTTATTCTCACAAACTTCTATGTAATTATTGAATATTAATATGCAAAGATTAAAATTCTAATAAACAATAAATCACTTTCATAAATATAGATAAATGTGTAGTAATCCCTCTACTATGAAGAAGACACATTCTAGTGACACACACAACTTTGTTGCTAATAACTACATTACCAGAATTATCATCATGAACACAGGAGAGAGAATGGTGTCCCAGAAAGGGTATTAGCCAAGGAATCAGGACATATAATCCAAATCCTGGTTCTGTCATTCATTATCTCATTTCTATCAAGATACCTTATTTCTCTACAGCTTGTACATTTAGATAATAACATAAGGGTATTGTAGAGATTAAATTAAATTCTTGTACTAGTCCCAGAATGTATCGGACACACAATACGTGCAAGTGATAACAGCTTATATTACAGTTCTGAAAATTAACTCTGTGCTGAGTCCTATACTAGTGCTATACATGCATTGTTTAATGTTCCATAAAGTAAGTACTGTTACTATCCCAACATCTTGAGAAGCAGTACAGTATAAGGGGTAAAAGTGCCAGGTAGAGAGGTCAGGCTCTTTGGGTCAAATCCCAGGTCATCTATCTGTTAGCTGTGGCAACTTGCTTAAAGTCTAAAAACCTCTTTCATAAAATGAGGATAAAAATAATTTCTACCACATTGCATTGTCCTGAGGATAAATGAATTGATATACATTAAGCACTTAGAATTGCGCCTGACATGTGTTAAGCACTCAATAATTATTATTATTATACAAATATGTGGAAAACTTAGATATATTAATTAACCCACAATGCCACATAGCTAGTAATTGATACAAGTATAATTCAATTCCAGAAAGCTTAAATTGTAAGCTTATATTTTAAACAATATATTTAATCACACATATTATATGTTTTAAACACTGAATATTTGTTGCATATAAAATCTAGGCCATGTATTTTCTCCCAATAGGGCTTACAGAGGGTGTATTCTTCCTCGCAAATAGATAAGACAACCCAGAACTGCTTTGACAATTTCGGGCTACAGAGAGAGAGCTCCGCTTTCCGCTTTTCTCAAGATAATCCTCAAACCAGTGATGCCCCAAAAGCATCGCATTAGCCTTGATCCTCTTTTCATTTGTCATGTCATTTTTTTCTCCTCATCAAATACTCTCAACCACAATGAAAAGTCAATATTTTACCTCGACTTTCTCATTCTCGGAATGACTTATTTAAAATAAATATTTTTCTCTGTGGAGTCATTGATCAATGTAGTTAAGAAGTTACTGAATGTCCATAAATACGGGAGGACTTACTGAATACAGCCAATATCACTGCCTTTTGAGCAGCACCATCTTCAAAACTCAGACTGAACTGTCTTTATATCTAGAGATATACCAAGTATGGTCACTCTTGGGGCTGTTAACAATCACCATATTATATTTGAGTAGGAACTAACTGCTATCAAAAATCAAGTAACTCCTTGAAATTAGGGCCACAATCCTGTAGTTTCTTGAAGTATTGAGAACGTTATGACACTAAGTTTAAAATAATTAAGTTCAGTTGGTTTCCACATGTATCCTATCACCTTTGCAACCCTTGATTATCACCCATTTTAGTACTTCTGAATTCAACCAAAGCAGGTTATGATAAAAAAAAATCATACAAGAAGCTCATTTTTCCTATAAATTTTTATACGAAGTTTTAGACCATGAAAACTCCAGAGAGCTACTAAACTACGAAAAGGCCGTTGAATTAATATAATGTTTTCTGAATCACTGTTGAGTGAAATCCAAATTAGTATATTATGTCCTTCACTTAACAGACTTTACAGAGTATCATGACAATCACTGTCCTTATTACTATAACCTCAAGAGAGTAATATCACAAAAATTATGTTTAGCAAAGAACTTAACATCACATATTTTCTCTTCCTTTTTTCAATCATTGTGTGTTCACCTGCTCAACCATCGTTTCTATTCCTTACTTCCTGCTACTATCGCCAAGATTTCTCAGACATTTTTTGACTTCCTCATGTGAAGTTTCATGTTTTATATTTATGAATAATAAAGGCCATCAAAATATATTTCTGATTTCCATTCAACTTTTCAAAATTATTTTTGCTATGTTATTTCTTATTGTCACAATATTCCCTTGAATTAAACAGATGTAATGTGTGAATCATTTAATAGATAACTTGAGTCATTAAATAGTGTTCATATAATCATGCAGCTAAATCTTTTGAGATTAAAGAACATAAAGTCTTATTTAACCTAAATCTTTTTTTTTTTTTTTTTTTTTTTAACGAATGAGAACACGGGCTTTGAGAGGAAATTGATTTGCCCAAAATTTTATAGACTTTTGGACAAAGAAAGATCCAGGACCCAGTCTCTGGACTTCTAAGCCAACATTCTCTTCATGACCCATAAGGCCTGTGTGCTAAATTGCTATTGCCAACTTCACTGATTAACCATTTCTTAAGGAAACAGAAACAGTATCTCAGACTTTATGAAAATATTTGTTTCACTTCTGTGGGAGTTGACGTACACTCATTTGGAGCAATTTTATTTGTGAGTTTTCACCTTCTGGGTTTCAATATAAGTCTTCACACTAAAAATGAAACTGGTAGTAATCATGGAAGTTTTTCTTGGTTTGAAATCAAGTCTAGATACAGCTGCTGTGTGTTACTTAGTTTCCAGGACAAATGCTAATCTCTTCCCTGATAGGCATTTTGGAAAGGAAGATAATCTGATTTTTACACAATGTCCTCCTCAGATCATTAATGTATTGGACCCAAGTTTTGAGTTTTTAATAGGCTTCAGTTCTAAGCAACTTGAATTAAGAGTGGTAAAGTTTCATAACTTCTCTAGATGCAATTAGCAAGTTCTAGGTCACTGCCATTGAAATCAGGATGCCCATTTGATGAAATGTGATAGAAATATGACCATTAATTGTGCTGCCACATGCCTTAAGACTTTTAATAATGTGAGGCAAATATTGCTGTATTATACTGACAATTTTTATTTTAGAACAATATTGGCACACTATCATTCAGACAAATTAACGTAACTCTCAAATAACAGAAATATTGTGTTTAAGTACCAGTATATGGACCCTTTAAAAAGAGCAAGATGTACAATAATTATCAACAATAATTATCAACAATAGAAGTAGTAATCAGATTTTCTTTATCTTTCACTTGTCATGGCAGCATCCTTTGAACCAAGACTGAAAACTCAAAATAAATCGAGGTACCGGAAGAATGGAAGTGTGGTTTCAGCATAAGTGCCTAGCTGTTACATTAAAAATATCCTTTTTTAATAAATTTTGATATGAAATTATCATTTTGCATTATTGTCTCTGCAATAAAAATATGGTGCATAAGTAAAAGCTATAATGAAACCTCATGTAATTAGAGTTTTAGCTCTTCTCCACTGAAGGTGATGAGTTTCCCCTTATCTACAGAGTTCAGATTAGTTTAACATTTTCAACTTTCATTTTTGCAGACACAACTTCCTTGGGTGAAATGTCACAGAAATATGGAAGATGCTGCGGTGAAGTTCTTCACACTCCATAATGATTAAACTTCTAAGGAACCTTCTGTAATCCTTTCCAGAGCTTTAAGTTCAGTTCATCACATCACAGTATTGTTGTAACTTCAATTAAATTGTGCAGATAATTTCAATGTATGGATATATTTTAAATATATATTTTAGTTATTCATGAACAGTTACTTGGTCCCAAACCTTACTTTTCTAAGAAACACAATACAGTGAAACGCTTTCTATGTGCATTTACCATTTACATATATTACTGAAGAATAATAACTGAAGACTGATTTCTTTCAGTAAAATTTAGGTACAATCCATTTGTTCATCATTGGGGAACAAGGAAAGACAATGCTATATAGTTTCTCTTGAAGTTTTACTTCTCTCATATCCTTTGTCTGTGAGGCTCTTGGGTAATGATTATGAAACTAGACTTCTCTTATATTCAAATGTCAATCCGGTTCAACCAAATGAAACACAGTCCCAGTTCCAGAAACAAGAGAAAAATGTCTCTGAGCAGAAAAAAACAGCAGTAATTAAGCCCATAAACTTTATTCTCCCAATGAACCGAGAAACACTGCAAGTCGGAGTACATTGACTTAGAACTAGGAAATGAAGGATATTACTCATTTGCCAAGTTTGGCTATCTCATGTCCCCTAACAACTTTCCATTTCTCTAAATTACAACTTATAGTTAATTAAGAGTAGCACTGGCTGATTATGAGAACAACTACACACAGAAGTAACAGATGAAAGTATGGAGAAGTCAAAGAATCACCAAGTAGGAAACCACGAAAGCACTTGGGGCCAATTAAGTTCACCTAATTGTAGCACAGTATATTTTAGCACATTACAATAAACAGTCTTTTTGTTGTTAATCACTCATCTAAGAATCCATTTAATTTGTTTCATATACTGTGTTTAATAAAGCATTGAAGAATATATGAGAATGATTTCTTTAAAAAGATTCAAATTATTTTTAATTGGCCTATGAAAGCATAAGTTTTGGTATTCTGGAAAGCTCAGCTCTCAGCAAAACTGTGTTGTTCTTGTAATTTAGATGCATAAGCCCATTGTGCATTAGATATGCTTTCAAAACATAAAGATAACTTATTCCTTGGACCAGAGATTTAGCATAAGTCAGCAGAAATTTAAAAACCCTCTGAAAACACTTCTTTAAACCCTAGTAATCACTGTCAAACAGACCTGATATGTGGGAAGAAAAAAGTTTGGTCAGCAGAGCAAAGGTTTATTTTAGCTTAAAAAGACTGTGATGAGAAGGTATACTCAGAAGAAGGGGAGAGAAATGGGTTGTTGTTGATCTTACCTAAAATTGAATTAACGTACGATCCAAAGAACAAAATAAACTCAGACATAGAGATGAACATATGCACTTAGAATACAAAGTGGTTTTGTATATAACTTCTCCTTGAGGGGGGAAATGTTCTAACTGCTGAAAAACTTTTAAGTATAGGGAAAAACTGAAAATGAATGATTCTTTTAATTGTAATAGAGGAGCCTTAGCAAAGAGAACTGAATTTTGAGAAATCTCACTGATTCTTCAATTTCTGTTCATAAATTTACATTAGAAAGTTAGTGGTACCTGGACAGATACCCTGCAGGACTCATTATTTGAAAGAATTATTTAAGTTATAATTGCTCTTGCCCACTTTTCCCAACTTTCTGATGAATTATAGAAATATGTCTAATTCCTTAGAAGCTCTTTCTTCCCTTTTTCTCCCTTTTGGATATTTGTCAGCTGCTAATCCAACTGGGTGCTGTTGGTTCACACTTTGACAAAAGGTATTAAAACCTACTTTAACCTAAAAATTTCTCATGATAAAGATTTAAAGTTGGATTAAACAAATTGATTTCCTACTTCTATAATTTTTAAATTCAAAATTATGCCTATGGCCTCCATTTCAACTAAAGTAAGAAGTCACAGTGTATCAATTTATACTCTATTCTAATGTGTAATGCATTTGTCTCATAGCATATACACAAGACTTACATGAAGAAAAAAAGAAAAGTGTTTTCTCCACTTATAACTATTTTATTTCATATTTTAACTTTTACCACTACTTTATACAGAGTAGAAAATAAGTCAGTGGTATTCTAGTTTAAAATAAGGCATCCTTTTAACATAGCAGGAAATTTAAGACATAATTTCTGTTAAGAACATGACGAGTTATCTCATCTATTTGTATAATGCAGTGTATATTACTAAATCCAGCTATGCTTCATTGAAAGTCACCAGCTTAAAGGGACTTTTCATTTAGTTTCAAAGAAATAGTTTACTTTGTATTATTCTTTGTTCCTGTAAAAAGCTTCATAGAGCAAACTGTGAATATGGATTTCTGAGTTCTGGTGTTAATTATATAACCAGTTTTTCATGGGGGATATTAATTCCTGGTTACACACACAAAAAAAATATCTAGCAAATTCTACCTTTAATCTACAGATATCTTTAGGGAATTAAATTTCTTAAAGCAAATTATAAAAAGAAAACAAATTATAAAAAGATGACTTTCTCTAAAAGTCATCTTGAATGACTTTACCCCTAAAGTTTACAAATGCATAAATATTGTTCAACTGCTCCAAAGTTAATAAACGTGAGATGATGAAAACAGGAGTTTTGTTTTCTTTATGATAATATCATGTTTATGTTCACAACAGGTGTAAATACGTGGGAACATTCAGGCATTATTGAGCAACTAATATTTATGTACATTTAAGTGGCTCCTAACAAGTGTATTTAAAGCACTACAGGCATGTTACTCAACTTGGTCAGTTTCATGTATTTTTAAAATTTTTTTTAGCTTAAGCAATATTGTTCATTCTAGCTCATGAGATAGTCTTATCTTTAAGCACCACACAGTTAACATCATGTAGATAAACTGCATTTCCCGTGTTCTGTGACGTAAGGGAATGCCGGTAGGCTCATCTGGCCAGCTAGTCATTGATATTCTTTAATTATAAAGTTACTTCGACTATGCTTCTGTGCCACAACAAGTGGCAAACAAAAATGAAATTGGATTCCCAGCCTTGAATTGATTAAATAAGTTTGCTCAGACGAGATGTAAACAAGAAAAGTTTGATGTGAAGACGTGGGGGGAACAAATGAAGGAAAATCCAATGAGTTTTTGTTTTGTTTTACTTGACGTTTTTGATACACTGAGTCTAGTCTCTCACAGACGTGCTGAGAGCCTCAAATAATTCCTGATATTGTGGAGGAGGCAGAGATGAGAATTAAAGGACCCAAAAGCAAATTGTTCTGTATAAAAATTTTCTTAATATCTATCTCTGAAACTTCTAATACATGTTTCTCCTAGAGTTCGATAAACAATAGATTTCTGCTTCTTAGTAATGTATTCATTTGGTTGTAGTAGTCTCAGTGACAACTGTCCTAATGAACAGAAAAGAAATAGTAGCCAGCATAATCACAAAAAAAGAGAAAAGACAATGATGCACATTTTCCATAAATTGAGACAATATAATTTAATTTTCCAAGACACTGTCTAAAATATTTTAATTGATAGCTCAACAACCTAGTCATCTCTGGACAAAACTATATGCAGACAATGAATTTATGAAAAGCATACAATAGATAACAACACTCCCAACTTCAGGTCTACAAAGCCATTCTGATCGTCCCATGCCATTCAAAAGTGCAACTGATTTGTCATCATTATTCACAACGTAAGTTTTAGGCATGTAATATGCTGGATAAATTCTGCCACCATTTCTTTATGCTTGAAATAGCTACAATCTTTAAGCAGTAAAGTGAGTAGATATATAATTTTGTCTAATGTTCTTATCTTTTTTGGCATCCAGAGGAAAACCTTTAGACACAGTATTTCCAAAAGCAAGCTAAAAAATAAACAAAACAAAATCTTTATTAGGAAGATTTTTGATAAAATGGTACATTTGAATAAAATAGTTTATGTATGCCTGAGTATGAGAGAAAGTTTTCTAAAACCAGTGTTCAAATGGTAGCTATTAGCCTCATGTGGATCTTTAAATTAATTAAAATTAAATAAAATGTGAAAATTCAGCTTCTCTATCACACTAGCCAACTTTCAAGGGCTCAATAATGCCTAGTGGCCTGTAACTACAGTAATGGGCAGTGCAAATTAGAGAATGGTCACATCATCAAAGAAAGTTCTATTGGACAGCACTGTTCCACATTATAATGCATATAACGCAGTTTAGAGAATACAGTAAGACGCACCCTTCTATTTAAGAGTTGGGGTAAGTTAAGTCCCAAAGATGATGTCATATAAGTATGTGATAAATATGCTTCTATTTACTGGAGAAAAAAGAAGGAAGAAAATTTAAAGTTTACTTTGCAGACCACCAAATGATATTTAAATAATTTGATCATCACATTGAGTCTTCACATTCTGATCATAAAGTGATGTTTCAGAAAAATCAAACCAATTTGAACAGCATTTTAATCTTCAAATGAATGAATGAGTCATTTTAAATCTTCTGTGGGTTGTTCCCAATCAATTGTCCAACTTACGTTAGCTTCATCTAATTAATTACAAATTTCTCTAATTTCCTTCAATCTAAATAGTTTATAAAATGAAGACCTTGGGGAGATGGGTCTTCAATTCACTATTGACTGATAGGATGCACAATAAAAATGAGTTGAAAAACTCAGTAAAGACACTCTTTGCCATAAATGATAAAAGTCTATCGGGCTTCCCTGGTGGCGGAGTGGTTGAGAGTCCGCCTGCCGATGCAGGGGACACGGGTTCGTGCCCTGGTCCGGAAAGATCCCACATGCCGCGGAGCGGCTGGGCCCATGAGCCATGGCCACTGGGCCTGCGCGTCCGGAGCCTGTGCTCCGCAACGGGAGAGGCCACAACAGTGAGAGGCACGCGTATCGCAAAAAAAAAAAAAAAAAAAAAAAAAATGTCTATCTTCCTGCCTAGGCTTCTCTCCCTACCTCCACTCATTCTGTAAACTGTGAACCTAGCGCTCATCAGTGCAAACACATAGAGTGTTATGATAGCGCTCAGAGTCTACTTTTCATTCCCAAAAGAGCCAGCGTTTTCTTTAAACAAAACCACATTCAAATCCTATGAAAGCAGAAGTTTATTTTCAGACAGTAAACTGAAGAACTTGGCCCTCTAATCCAATCTTCTTTTTATAGTATTTTGGAAAGTCCCTTTTTGTCCCTCTGGATATCTTTGAATATCTCAGTCTGGAAGGAAAAAGAAATCTACACATATCCCAGATTTATACCACAAGAGCAGCTCAATTAAGTATGCACTGGAACATAGTTTGGAAATTTTCTGGACCAATTGAAGGGAACTTTCATGACTGGTATCCCCAGTAAAGCCAACTCCTCAATGCTTATTTATCATTTATCATTTATGTGAAGGAAAACCCTAGCCAGCATTCTGGTGTTCTTGATGTCTATCTGGTTCATTCTTGTAATCCCCATTTTTAGCATGATGCTAGGTGTTGGACAGTTATATTTTTAATGAATGGAAGAATTTAGCAGCTGTCGGTCAACTATATATTAAATAATTAAACAAATTACAATAATTCACAGTAAGTGTAAGATACTCTTGCTTTAAGCTGAATCTCTGAGTCCATTTTACCATCATACATTGCTATTTATGGTGGACTGTTTCTAGTTATGCCAATAAACACCACACTTCAGATAGGATGTGGGTTGTTTTTGTCACCTAACCTGGGCATCTAATTCATATGTTTATCACCACAAATATTTACTTTGTTCCTACTACATACACATATGTTTTAATATCTCCTTGCTTGAAAACAAACACAAAGCTTCCTTGACCCCCTCAAGCTACTCTAATATCCCAATTTTTACTACCCTTTAGAAAAAATTCCTCAAAAGAGTTGTCTGTTGTTAGTCATTCCCATTGTTTGGTCATATTCTCTTTAACCATAAGTCCACCAGATA